TATTTAAACAGATTTCAAAGTCTTGGAGGAAGAAGTATTTTCAAAGAATTTTAAATCCAAGAAATATGTTAAAATTTTGACGTAAAAAGTTTTATTCATAACTTAACATGAGGCGTAAGCAATCAGAAAATCATTTATATTAAAAAAGATTTCAATATAAATTCGAAATACAATTCTCTTTTTTGATAAAAAAAAAAATGTCCGAGAGGACCGAGATGGAAAACAGCGCTCATCTCGCAATGACAGGAGCACTGTACTCCCTGAGCCCAGTTTTTGATTTTTCTGAGTCTATTTCTGGATTCCCTGAGATACGGTTTGAGTATAAAATACAAAAAGTATACCAGAAAATTTGTATACTGCTCTTATTTTGCTCAGACACAATGCTGTTGAAAAATATAGCTAAGTGACCAGTCAATCTAAGAGATATAAACTCTCTTTGCTTCATCTAAGGGTCATGTGATTTTCTTCTCACTCTAAAGCAGGGTAAAGTGCTCTATAGAAGCGATTTTGCCACATTACTTGATCCATGAATTCCCGTCTCTGGTAGCGTTAAAAAGTTTTAGGCTTGACGATGAATATTGACGCATTTTCAGATGTTGTCGTTGTTGTTTTCGTGTCCATGGATTTTCAGATATCATCAAAAGTCTGGACTATTGCGGCCGCCAGTTTCAGTGCCTCTTGACTGTTGAGGCATTTTCAGATCCCATATGTATTTTGGAGTGATTTTGCCCCATAACTTAATTCATGAGTTCCCGTCTCTCCCTGGTCGAGGTAAAAAGTTTTACGTTTGATGTATTGAAGAATTTCCGGATCCAATATAAATTCCGGTAACACTGGTGGATTTGGTATCTTCACTAAGGTATAAATAATAAAAAAAGCAGTTTTTTTATTTTGTTGTTAAATTTTTGAAATTTTTATTCATAAATTAAAATTTTGAAATTCAAAATTTGAGAATATTTTTTTATAAATAAATTCGTTAAATTTTTAAATAATAATTTTTCATTAATTAATTTTTTTAATTATTAAATTAACATTTTTCACAAGAATTTTTGTTCAATTAATAAATTTGTCAAAATTTTTAATTAAAAGTTTAGAAATTTTTGTAGAAATAGAACGAAAATATTGTAATATGAAAGCAAAAACTGCTAGTTTAACAAATATTTTTCAGTTAAATACAATGCATTAATATGGTATGTCATAATCGATATTATGTCAAGCAAATAACTTAAAAATAAATCACTCCTAAAATAATTATATTATTGGTCTGTATAATTGTTTTCGATTTTTTTTCACAGAAAAAGGATACTTTAATTATTTTCAACCTTCAAAAGTTTGATAATTGGAAAATTTATGATTCCTCTCCTAGAATTAATGCAATCTTTTCATCCCAGAGAATTGTGTTACTTTAATCAGGATAATAAATTTTTTTTTGATTAAGCAAATTAAATCATCAAGTTGCTTAAATTAAATTGTAGATAATGAGAAAATTAAAATTTGTTAAGGGCTATTATTTTATTAATTAATATCATTACACGATAATGTAAAATTCATAATTTACACTTTTCAGATTTATGCAGATGAAAATGAAAAAAAAAAAGTATTTTTAAGTCAAAAAGAGATCTTGTTTACAATTTTGAGTGTAGTCATACGCTGGGAGTGAAAATAATTATTTATGAGTTAATTATACTGAATAATTAATACTTATCACATAATTCAACGCAGTAAGGTTGTTTTAGTTGACAATAACTGCACAGTCTGAGAAAAATGTAAGGAGACCAAATTTAATGTGAATTTAATGTGACCAAATCTTAACTCTGCTTAATAATTTTTTAACAAACAAACTTTTAAAAAAAAAAGAATTTCTGTCACAATCATCTGGAGAACGCAATGATTGGTTGACGTTATTTAAAATTTTACTAATATTTTTCTTTTCAAATTAATCACGTGGCTCAATAGGCTTAACCCTGACAATTCAAAACAAAAACGGTCTTAAGCATCTGTAATTTCAGCGATCAAATCAATCCCTCTCGATTTGGAAATCATTATGAAAATTATGGAGAAAATAATTCTTGACCAATTCTGAGTCATTGTTTGAAAGTTCATTTAACTGAAAAATAAAACAAGAGCATGCAGTTTCAAATATGGTCTCACGTCCACAATTGTTCCATAAAAATGTCTTAGCAAATAGTTTCAATGCTTCTTTACCGATTTTTCTTCAAACTATAACAAGAGTATTAGTCTCCAATATAACGGATGTTGGTTCACAGCAATAATTTTGTTCCGACATTTTATGACGTTACATAAGGGCGGAAAGCTGCAACTGCTAGTATTCAGGGACTATAGAGAAAGTTTGAGACTTAACTTGTTTTTCTAGACCTGACAAAACTCTAAAGATAACGAATATACATTTTAAGTTTATATACCAATTACATACACCAGAAGTCCTTACTGTTAGAATTACGGTAAAGTAACCGGCAACAGTTTGTCAATCAAATTAACCATGCCTTTTATGGTTAAGAACATTTCTTTGCATTTACGATTTTGAAATCATTTACGACTTGTCTGGTTAAAAAGTCGCGAATACAAAACTATAGCGCATTATAACCATTTACAACTAGCAGGGTTTCAAAAACGTAAAAATGAAATTTAGCTGGACATTGTAGTTAAATTAAGTATTTCATGTATTTAGAAGCATCATGAGAAGTGCTAAACATTTTTGTGATAAGCAGCTCTGTGGAGCTGCCCTCTATGCGTAAACGAGTTTCATATTCCAGTAGTCCAGAGTCACCAGTTAAAAAGGGAGTGTAGGGCAGTGGAAACGCTGTATTTGTTGATATTTCAGTGTCAATTTTAGTGTCAATGCTGGATTCGAATCCCAGTTTAGCCGATCATGAGATTCTCAGATGTGTCTTCTCGACTGCAACAAGGCAGCCGACTTTCTGCTTTACTTGGGAAAATGCCATCAACTGGTAGATAAGTTAATGTTTTTGCATGTTCTTCTTTATTTTCGAAATTTGATTGAAAGTTATTTTCCATACCTTTCACGTAAATGACATGGAAGTTTAGATAAAGCATCCTTGTATTCTAGATTTCTAATAGTTAAATTTTAAAATGCTTGGCGAAATCACCAAAAATTGTTTAAGTTCGAGTATTTAATTGTTTGCAAAAAAAGCGTTGTAGTAAGTAGCTTTCCTGCATAATATACCTAGTAAGTGAATAAAAGCCTAGTTATTTTACCATATAAGTGAAAAGAGCCAATAAAAATTTTTTTTCACAGTTAGCAGTTTAATATGGCAAAAAAAAATTTAAATATGGCAAAATAAAAATTTAATAATTTTTTATTTAATTATTCTTTCTGAGAAATTTCTAACAGTGCATTTATCATAGTATTAGATTATGAGCACACAACCGCATAAGCAAAATATAGGCTAATTCACAATGACGGCTCTTAATTTTTATATTTTTTTGATTCTTTATCATAAATTAAATCAAAAATTATACATTTAGAGGGTTGAAATTAACATTTTAGCATAACAAAAACGTAATTAAAATCTAACAATTCTTTATTGAGGAGTGTAACGATTCAAAACATTAAAACCCATGTAATAGTTGAAGGAATCAAAGGAGAATTGAAGGAAAAAAGAGTTTTAATTGGCTATAGTTTAAATAATTTAAAGTTTAAAAAAAGAGTTTTAATCAATTTAAAATGTAAAAAAAAACGACATTTAAATCCACCACGACAAATTAATAATTGAAAAATTGTAAATATGATCTATTTGTCAGCTTAGCTCTGAAATTTTAAATTGATTCCATTATTAAGAAATCTTTTTCACCGAAACTCTCTTTGCTTCATCTAAGGGTCATGTGATTTTCTTCTCACTCTAAAGCANAAAAATTGTAAATATGATCTATTTGTCAGCTTAGTTCTGAAATTTTTAATTGATTCCATTATTAAGAAATCTTTTTCACCGAGTGTTCAAGATATATATATATATATATATATATAATCTTTAAATTTATATGTAATCAATGTAATAATTACATTGATTACATATAAATTTGAAGACGAAGACATAGAAATAAATCACAAAGTCTTACTAAAATAAAAATACTAAATCAGGTAAATAAAATTTCCATTTCTAAATTGTATATTTTTAGTATTTAATTGCTTATATTCCCAAATTCTATTACTGTTCTTGTTTAAAACAATTTACATAGATTAGTGAAATTTTTTTCGCTAAACGAGCATAATTCAAAGTCCATTTAGAATTAAAAGAATGCACCAAGAATAGGAAATTTCAGTTAAGTCAGAATTCATTAATTTTAAACACAGCACTAAATAAAAAAATCTACAGTCTTGTGGAAATGAATCATATTGTGTATTATTTTAGTAATAATAATAATAATATTTATTTCCTACACAAAGCTGACTAATTAGTTTCCTTTTAAGAGCCTCTTAATTGAGTTCATTAATTGCAACATAAAGCATAACTTTAAGAGGATTCTTTTGTGACTCTTTCAACAGAAATCCATTCATTTGGCGAAATTTTCCATTCAAATGAAGTCTTTTGATTAACGGAATCCATATAAATGAATTAAATATGTAAATTTTTACTTCCTTCACTAATCTAAATTGAAGTATACGAAATAATTAAAAATAGGTGTTTTCCTTAACAATAAGAGAAAGTATTAAAAATTAATTAATCTGTCCACTGGCATTATGAAATATTTATTGCTATTTATTGTTCAGTTAATTTAAATTATTAGCGAATATTTTACATGATGGTTCCCTTGTAATAACATTTAGATTGGTTTTTATGAATTTATTTCGTTGATTTATATAAATACATTTTTAATAACACTATAAAAAAAACTTTAATATGTAGTATTACTATAAAATCTCTTCGAATATCAGAAATTTCTTAATGAATACAGCAAAAAAAGCAAAGTTGATGTTTATCAAACTAAAAAAATCCAATTTAAAACAAATTAAAACGAGATCATTTTAATTATTATTTATTGGAATAGCCATAAGTGAGACAACAGTTGTTGAGCATAATAGAGAAATTAACAAGTGACAAGTCAAGAATTAACACTTAAAATTTTCATTGAAAATAATAACTTACACAAGAATTAACACTGGAGTAGAAAGCAAGCTATGATAGATTAGTTAAAGATAATTCATTATTTTTATGCTATGCAAACAGATTCCCATTGTTACAACAATTTCTAAAGCTGTTGCCCTAAACACTTGAGTAACTTAACCGTGACTGTGATTGTAGATATCAGTAGCAGTATTAATAGCACTTTATTTATGTTGCTCTGGAGTTGCTCAATGGCTATTGGCGACTATGTTCGAAATATCCCTGGAGATGATCCGAAGACATATCATCGTGATTTTGATTTTCTGACTACGAAAATGGGATTCTATGAGTTTTTCTAGTAATCCATACAGTTTTTTAAGTAGTATTGTAGAATTAGACTTAGTAAATAACGCATAAACTTCTTTAGTAGCCATACCCAAAAACTCTCAATAGCATTACATGCGTTTTCCTCTCGTATGTTTATTAGGAATTTAATAAGTTCATTAAGAAACATTTAGTAAATATACAAAAAAAAACACCTGTAACGTTAGAAAGAAATCATTAGTAGATATACATATAATTAGCTTGCTAGAGTTCTGAAGCATAGAACTAAAGCACTTGCTAGAGTACTAAAGTTACGTGTGCTTTTCTTGTATGTAATAAATCGATATACACCTGTTACACCTGTACACCTGTTACACCTGTGATGCTACTAAGAAATCCTTATTAGCATTACAAGAACTACTTCTGCATTTTTAGTTGGAAACATTAAGTATAGGATTTAATTGGTAATTAACACAAGACTTTTAATTATTTAACCAATTAAGCGTGTTTCACGTGTATTTACTGCCGACCAAATCTCTATTACGCTGCGTATGACGTATATGAACAATTCTACAAATAAACGCTAATAAAAAATAGGTGATTTTTATTTTTCTTAACAAAAATAAAAATGAAAATGTCGAAACTCCCTGTAGAAGCTATAAGTAGTTTCAGAGTGCAATTTCAGAAGCTTTAACTAGTTTCAGAGTACCCATTTAGAAGATCTACTAGTTTTATTAAAGGCTGATTTATATTTTCCTTAACGAAAACGCTCTGAAGCAGTCCTTTTTGAAAAATTGATTTATATTTTAATTTTTCTTGACGAAAAAGTTTCAGAGTACCCCTTTAGAAACTCTAAGTAGTTTTAAAGTTTCTCTTCAGAAGCTCTAAGTAGTTCCAGAGTGAGTACCCCTTTAGAAGATCTACTAGTTTTAATCAAGTCTTATTTATATTTTCCTTGAAAATGTTTCCGAAAATGTTTTGAAGCAGTCCTTTATGGAAGATTGATTTATAATTTAGCGGCAAAAATATATATTAGAGTTTATAAGACATATTTAAATTGTTATGTCAACATTGTTTTATATTTTAATAATGGGATTCATTAATATTAATTAAATATTATTCTGATCAAACTAGACTACACTTTTTCGATTCTATTTAAATATGTCATGGATACTAGAAATCTATTAATTAAAAAAGTGATTTGCTGCTAACAAACAAGCTAAATTTTATAAAAAGAAGGTGATAATAACTAACCATTGATGTATGTTTTGATTTGATAAAAATGGTTTATGTAACAGTAAGTTAGTTACATCGGAATCTTAAAATTTTATGCATTATTTAAATGTATTTGAAGAAGTACTCTGATCATTGTTTCCTTATTCTCAACAAAGAACAAAAATATTAATTAAAGAATAAAATTTATCGAAAATAATTATTTGTTTGTGAAAATTTGATTTTAAAAATATTCATACTACACTCAGATTATTGTTTCTAAAAGCTATAGTTAAAAATATAATATGAAAAAAAGAAAATTTAAAAAGACTAAGGCAAGAAAGAAAGTAATATTCACTGATTTTAATCTGTATTATATTAATATATGATGTGAGGCATGAATAAGACTGATTATAAAGTTTTGCTTTAGAACTAATTATTCTCTTGATTATTCATCAAGTATTAAAAAAATACTTTTTAACACAATCACTAATTATTTGAGAATTTCATTCTTCTGATATTTGGTATAATAAAGCTTACTTTTACTCTAGTTAGATGTTTTGCTTCATTAAACCTAATTAAAATTTCCTTAAGGATAGTGGGAAAAACAAATGCTGAATTTAAAAAACGGAATGCATGATTTTTTGAATTATAATAGTTAAAATAATCCAGGATTATATTCAGTTTGACTAGTGGTTTATTGTGAATTAAATTTTTTAAATAGCATAATTAAAATTAATACTACAAACACAAGACATTTTTTTAAATAATAATGAAATAATTAAATGAAATAATACCTTTCATAAAATGTCAACATTTATTTTGCTTCGATAATTTCAATATTTTATAGATAATAATTTCACTTTGAAAGTTTATTACAGAGGAGAACGGCGATTTTGCTTTGTAAAACAATTCAAATTACGCTAAAAATGAATAGAGAAATTTAAAATTCATTTACAGTGCTTGAATTCAAGCACAATTTGCATAAATTATGTGAAGTATTTATATCTAGGTAAATTAAAGTTTGCATGAGTTGTAAGTAAATTATGCATAATCTATAATAAAAGGAAGTCATTGAATAAAGCTTAAAAGCTCGTTAAGAATTCATGTGACGCAGAAAAGTATGAAAAGATTTGTGCTTTCACTGGGTGAAGTATGTAATTTTGAATTATTAAGTAGTAAGTCTTGAATTAAGGCTTACTACTTAATATACACATAAATCTTGAATTACTTTTACTATTTATTAACTTGAGTTTTAATATATTTAATCATTAGAGTTAGAAATATATTTATTTAATTTCAGTTTTAAAAACCCAATAAAACTCAGGAAAATCTTAAAGAAATTTTTAGGATGATTTTGAAAATCTTAATAATCTTAAGAATCTTAATATAAAAGTCCATTTTATAATTTTAAAAATATAAATAAGAAATAGAGCTATATTTAATTATTATTTTATTAATTATACTCTTGTGGTAATTAAGATGTGCTTATAACAACATTTATAAGCATTGGAAAATAAATTGGGAAATAAAAAATATAAGATGAATTGGGATAAAAAGCAAGGACAATGCATGCAGTCACTCTTACTGATGACTTATTATAAAAATATAATCAATTTTATTCCTTAAACTAAGGAGATAGAGAAGTATTGTTAATAATACAAGAATATGGTAAAGCCTGTCATGTTCATTTACCGTCTATGTGAACTGCCTGTAAATAAGTAGAGCAAATAATAAGTCCTTTAAAGTAAGTCCAGTAAATATGTAATCGAGAAAATATCAATAAATAATAAGTCCCAAAGAAAGCGTGAGTTTCTTGGAATATTCTACTGTTTATAATAAATTAAGAACAAAGCATGTAAGTGCGTTGAAAAATTAAATTGTAAAATTATATTTAAGCTTCTACCATGTCAAAACTATTATTTAAGGTGTTCATATCAGTAGTTGAAATAAAGCCAAAGAAAGTAAACAAATAAATATCACTTTTTGAACATGGCGTATATGTTTTACAAATATGTCATCACAGTTCATGTTATTTTGACTTACTTCATGCTCGAATAGTTTTTCGAACAAAACTTTTCATCAATATAATGGTGTTTTCAAAATTTTTCCAATCTTATTTTGTTCTAAAGTTTTGTGCCCTAGAGATTATATGTTTGACCAAATATATAGGATAAAGTTTTTGTTTTCATATTTTGAGAAGTAATATATTAAAAATATGTGTTATACTGGAAAAAAAAGACAAGTATATATATATTTTGGTCACTATATTTATTAACGAAACTGCTTTTAATAATTTTGATATTTAAACTTTATATTCAACTTTAACAAAATAATAAAATATTTAGTATTTATTTGCTTTTCCATTTCTTATCAAATATATGTAAAAAAAGAGAATTTTTTTTTCTGAATTCAATAAATTTTTTTTCTTCAATGCGCTGCTTCAAATTTTATGCTATTAAAATGACAATAATGGGACGTTAGTGTTTATTTTTATTTACTTTATCAAACCCTGGCGAAAAAGTCGATGCCAAAGCATGAAGCACTTTTTACTATTCTATAGATTTGATGATCACTCTGATGTTATGGTGGTTAAAGCCAAAAATGTCATCTCTTTAGAAACTCTAAGTAG